GCAACAGGCTTATAAATATGTAAATGTATGTTGGTTGTATATACATATATATACAACAACAAACGTACATACATACACACATACGTGTGAGAATAATAGTTTGTGAACGGTAGTTCGTAACTCTAAGAAGAATGAACGAATGAACACTCGTTCGTATGCGAGAGAAACATAAGTTCGAGTAAAAGAAAATGAAGAACAAACATAAATAAAAAAAAAAGGAAAAAACAATTTCCACTTTCCTCGTTAGAAATAATGTTCTCCTTTATGAGATGATACTACGATAATCACCGATGATGCTATTAAAAATATATATTATTTTTATTAAATATAAAAATTAATTAATTAATTTAAAAAAAAACACACGGTTATGTTAATGCAATAAATTTTAATATTAACCCACCGAGTCTGATTTATTATGGTTATTAAATCATTTTAATCTATGACAAAATAAAAACTAATTTCGTGATTAAAATGAAAATTTAAGGGAAACAAATATAGGGATAAATTATTTCTTAATATATAATTATTATTATATTTAATAATTAATAATATATAATAATTAAATATAAGAAAGAAATTATTTCTTTTAAGATGGCCCATTTGTTCATTTGTTTTATTTTTTTCTAACAATCATTAATCATTTCTCAGTTAAAATATTTAGTTAATTATTTTTGTAGAAAAAAGGTGAAAGGGTGAAATACGTTTATAAAAATACATCATTTGATTATAAGATAAATCTAGTTATGTCTTTTTCTTTTTCTCTTCTTCTATTTTTATTTTTATTTTTCGTAAATAGAATTTGAACGTTTCACTGTTCAAATGACAAAAATAAAATTAAATCTTTCATCTTCTTCTTCAAATTGCCGAGATATATCATCGATATGAAACTCCATACCTCGCGTTTCATATTTATCAGATAATCTTGATACAGATACGCGAATGGTAGGTAAGATAGAAGGGAAGACATTTGATTTACGATTTAGTAGAACATGTACGTACTTAGTTTTCCCGTCATTGATGAGGTAAAATAAAATAATGGATAAACAAACTAAACTAAACGAAACAAAATCATGAAATAAAAAGATTCAAGAATATATATGTACGTATGCATGAATGTATGCATGAATGTATGAATGTATGTATGAATGTATGCATGAATGTATGAATGTATGCATGAATGTATGAATGTATGTATGCATGTTTATATGTATGAAGGTATGTATATATGTGTGTATGTGAGGAGTACGATGAGAATCCCCCGTTGCACGAAGGAAAGAACTTTCGATTCGTCAATGTCAAGGGAGAAGAAAAGACAAGGAAGAAAATTGTACGCACGAGGTTGATGATCTTTCATACACAGTGATCCTATTACATTTCATCGTCGTTGTCGTCGAGTACTTGTCGGCCTCGAGTGAGATCACGATTGAACTAGATCTATCGATCTCGATCGGATCTTGATTTAATTATTTCATTATTTCAATGTTTTTCCTTTCCTTTCTTTTATTTTTGTTTATATATTTCAATCTTAAAAGTATATTTCATTTTTATTTTTTCTCATGTTCTCGTTGTCGTAATTATAATATTTATTATTATTATTATATGCCATTAAATGAATATTAAATTTGTACTAAAAAGGTATCAAATTAATTTCTATATCTTTATTAATATTAATTATTATATTGTATTATATATAAAATAATTATGTTACTATTACTATAGGTATTTTTAATATATATATATATATGTATATTATTTTATTTTTAATATATATATTAAATTTGTTTTTTAAAAGAATATCAAATTAATTTTTATATCTTTATTACTATTAATTATTATATTGTATTATATATACAAAATTATTATGTTACTATTATTATTAATATTTTATATACATATATTAAATTTGTATACTAAAAAGATATCAAATTAATTTCTAATTCTTTATTAATATATATATTAATTATTATATTATATATATTATATATGAAATTATCATATGTTATTACTATTACAGATTTATTATTATCATTATTATTATTATATACCATACTAAAAATGAATTTTTACAAACACTGAATGTTCTTACTAAAATGATATTAAATTATGCTTTTTAATACCTCATTACAATCCTACATAAAATTATAATATACACAATTTTAATGATATTATTTAAATAATAATTATATATATATATATTTTTGATTTGGAATAAGTTTGAAAGAAAGAAAAGTGAAATTTTGGGGTAAAACCTTATTCGGTAAAAGGTTTCGTAGGTTGAAAGTGTTTGGCTTTGTGGCCGGGGGCAGAAACTTTCGATTCTCGTTGATCTCAAAAAGGAAATCGTTGAATCTTCTTTCTTTCTCTGTCTCTCTCAATTGCATATAATCGTCATCTATCTTTCTTACTCTTTCATCAACATTTATATCTCCCGTGTTCGGTTTCTCTCACTCTACTCTCGCGATTCTTCTCCTCTTACTCCCCCTTTCTCCCCCCTGTACTCTCGTCCATACGAGAATCTAGGTCAACATGGGTTGCGTTCACCTTCCAGCAAAAGCAATGTCTTCCAAGGAAGGTCGTCGCTCGTCTGGAAAGCCGAACGAAACCTTTTTTTTTTCTTTTCTTTTTTTTTTATTTGTTCTTTTTTTCTCTTTCCTTTCCTCTCCTTTCCTTTCCCTTTCTTCAATAAAGATGTACCATCAGCTATATGATGCATCAACACACCCATCTAGTTTTACCATTTTGGGTTTACGTAATTTCCACGAATTTTAACTTTCATATTTTCTCTGATCTTTTATTATTTTTTTATTTCTTTTTTAAAGAAATATTGTACGTTATTTCGAAGTTAAACGCATGTGCGTGCAAAATATGACGTTATCGTATAAATAAAGGTTAGGTTATGTTCAAATGTTTCGCGTATTCATCGAAATCTATGACCAATAGATGGCGCTGGACTTATCTGTATCTTTTTCTTATTTTTTTATATTAATTAATTATTTTATAAATAAATTAATATAATTAAAACCTAGCTGTATGCAAATGCGACGTTGTGTCAAAATTTCAAGACAATCGGTGAAGTATTTTTAGAAATAAATGATAAAACGTTTAAAACTCATGTACTAAAGCAAATATATATTATTTGATTACATGTATATAATCTAGTATATATATATATATATATATATTTTTTTAATTATACATTTTGTAATTCTTTTTATTGATATTTTAATCGTGGTGATTTATTTTTGTTAAATACAAATAAGTTGTATTGTAAAGTTTATATTTATATTATTATTATTCGAAGACTTGAAAATACTTGAAGAGATTGAAAATTATAAAAAATAAATACTAATATTATATTATTATATTATATTTAATATTACTATTAATATTAAAAAAAATAATACAATTTTGTGTTATATTCTGTAATAAAACAAAAAGACTACGATTTTCATATGTGTATTTTTATTAAGTTTCATTAAAGTTTCCAAATTTGAATAATAATTTCCAATTATGTGGAAAGTAATTTAACTAAATTTCAATCTTTTTGCACATAAATTAATTTAAGATATTAAATAATCAAATAAAATAAATAAACACACAAAATTAACACTAAACATTGAAATAAATATAACTCTACCACGACCAAAATCTCAATAATTGTTAATAACGATTTATAATTGTGATTGTGATCGTAATGGTAACATGAAAAACCATATAAGTAGAACTCATATATAAAACACGATCATAAAAACAAACCGTAAAAAGAAATAGTTGTGAGTAAAAAAAAAAAGAAAGGAAAAGGAAAAACCAATGACTATTAAAACTACAAACAACATAATAAATTCAACACCATATAACCAATAATAAATCGGATAATTTATACAAACAATTTTTGTATACCCTTATCTCCCTTAACCGATCCGAAAGATACTAAATCTTCTATATTACATTACACATGTAAATACAAAAATAATTAAAAACAAAAATTTAAAAAAAAGGTGTCATAAAAGTGTTGATTATAATTAAAACTTATTATTTTGTTTTGTTTATATTTTCTATCAATACCGATATCTCGAATTTAGATATTATTTATCGATATAACTAAACTTTCAACTAACCATAAGTAAATAAAATAAAAACACATTTGCATATACAGATGGATACATTTAATTGGCCGATCAATTAAAATCGTTTCATGATTAATTAAATTCGAGTAATTAAATAAGTTACATTTAAAATACTAAAAAGAAAATACATTACTGATATAAAACTTCAAATATCTCGTAAACTATTGACATTTCGATGACCTTCACTTAATACTTTTTAACGCAGAATAAAAAAAGGAATCGAATGGTATAAAAAATAATACAGAGTTCCATTTAAAAAATAAGTGCAACTGCATCTAGCAGGTGCATCGATGCATTTTCAAAAAAAGTAAGGTCATAGGAAGGTGACATGTGATGTGCCATATAACTTTTTCCTTTATCATTTTTCTCTATTGTTGCTTAAAAAGAAGTTATTATCCGTCCCAGTTACAAGATTCACCCTGTACATATATGCATATGTGTATGAGTATTTTAAGTATGTGTGTATCTCATGTGAAATGATCGTCACTCTATTCGTTATGTTTAGGCTTGTCGAGGATGCATCTTTGTAAATTGATACTTAAGACTATTAGAAAGCGCAGGTATACTCATCTTATGGAAAGCGTTTGCTTTTATCTGATCATCCGGCTTTTATGCTAAAAATCATGTGAGTCGTCGTATACATATATATATACATATATTTATACATATGTATATGCTTCTTTCTTTATTTCTATTTTTTTTAATTTGTTCCTTTTTAAGTTTTTTTTTTTTTTTTTTTAATGAGAAAACGAGAGATAAATAGATAGGGAAAGTATTAGATGTTTCACACGTGAAAAAGATTTTCTTTGATTCTTTCGACAGACACATGACTCTTAATTAATACAACAATTAGAAAGTTTTCTTATTACTTACACGTAGGTAGTTGGGGTATTTGGGCTGCTTTTGTAGTACCGTGCCTCGTTATAGTAATCTGTAAATTAAATCAAAAGAATTTTATTCATTTTAGATATTATTCTAAATATTAGTATCATTAAAATTAAGATTTCTTTTAAATGGATTGATAATTCTCTTCATATATAAATGGTCATTCCTCGAGGGCGTATATATACGCCAGCCGTAATGAAAGGGTTATAAATATATCTTAAAAGAAATATCTTATATCACACATCGTAAATAAGCAGATAGATTTAACAAAAGACTTAAAATCAGCTGCCGGGCGCCGTATCAGCGCCGTTCGAGTTGTCGCTTAAATCTGCCGAGTGCAAAGGTTTAATATTACATTTTACACTTTAATCGATAGAAAAAAAAAAAAAGGATGGAAAAAAGAAGAGACTGTTTGAAACTGACATTGTTTGAAACAAGGAAAAGATTAGGAACAATTTTCTAACGTTAAAGAAAACTTTATCTTAAATCCATCATTATCATCATCATCATTATCATCATCATTCTGAAGTTCTAAGCAATTTGTCATTTTCAAATCGTTTTGTATGAAAGCAAAACGTACGTTAGAGAGATTATAGTTAAGTATGTACAACTATTACTACTACTACTACTACTACTACTACTACATGTATCTAGTAGCCGGTTTTCTTTTTTCTTTCTCGTCTAGTAATAGGGGAACGGGATGCAATTACGTTATATACCTCGTGTCCGTCGTCACTCTTAATCTAAGAATAAACTTGGCGCTTGTCTTGTCTTTACTTGGGTTTTGCGTGTTTTACCGTAGTATACGCTAATTAGGAAGACGATTTTACTTTTAACGTACGATAGAAGAAGAAGAAGCAACTTTGCCACTTTTTTACTTTTCTTTTTCCTCTCTTCTCATTTTCTCTTTCTTTTTCATTAACAACTGGTAAGATATAAGATTCTGCGAACCCTTATGCACTTTTAAAACACCCTTAAATACTCTTTTGATTATTATATTTCTTCTTTGCTCATTTACATCCTTGAAAAACCAGCAACCAATATTTTTCTCTATTTTTGTTTTATTCATTTAATTTTCACAGATTAATTTTCAATAAATATTCTTGACTCGTGAAATTTTATGTAAGATTTTTCATACGATAAAATAAGATCGAGATGTTTGAAATAATAAAACAAAAAAAATAAAATAAAATGAAATTTGTGTAATAGGAGGCACCAGAGTGATAAGTATTTTTAATTACGTCGATACGTTATAATCGATATTATTATTATTAATTTATTTAGTAATTAAAAATTATTCTTCTAACATAGATCGATTTAATAAACTTGCCGATATAATGGTCAACGTTTAATTTAACACCCATATCGATGCATAATCTTCTTATGGGGATATTTATCTATCGCTCGATTATCGTAAATTGGATGATGTTAATCGTTTCGTAAAAGGCGAGTTAAATTGGTCATTTACGTCAAGGTCGTTTTAAAACGAAAGGGAAAATCTTACATATAATACGTAAATATATACATATATACATATGTTATGTATAACATTATGTTATGTGTACACATGTATAAACTTGTATAAGAAAGAAAGGCTAACTCTAGGTATCGATAGATCATTTGACATTTTCAAAGATGACTTTCATCAGCAATGAGTCATTTCCTTCTTCGATCGATTATCATATTATCCTTGAATGGAAAAAGAAAAGAAAAAAATAAAATAAAATTAAATTAAATTAATCTTTTTCACATTTATATAAAATTAATACGAATTTCTTGGTAGTAGATTGAATTTTTTTTTGGAATTGAAATGGAATTTATATTTTTGCGAGATTATAGTAGTTGCATCGAAAGTATCTAATATTAATCTTATCTACGAGATAGATTTCACCATTGTTCGTAGGAACGACGCACGTATTTAAAGTGGGCGGTCGTTTCATCGAATTATTTAGAAAGTGTGTTTTATACGTGTGTGTGTGTATGTATGTATGCTTGTGAATATACATATAACATTTGAAATTTATCTTTTGTATAATAACACGACATTTTCGGATTAATAAATAACAAATAAATAAATAAAAAATAAATATAACAAAAAAAAATGTAAAATGGATAGATAAAAATAAAATGAAAAATGAAAAGGAATGAAAAGAGAAGAAAAAAATGGATAGAAAAATAAATAAAATGAAAAATGAAGAGAAAAAAAAGAAAATAAAAAATGGAAAGAAAAACAATAAAAAAATAATTTTTACATAAAATAAACTTTTCATTTTATTTATTTATTATAATTCATTTTATTTATTTTATATTCAAAATAAATAAAATGGAAAGGAAAAATGAAAAGGAAAAATGAAAAAGAAAAAAATGCAAAAAAAAATATTGAAACATGAAAATGCAAAATGTTGTCAAAGTCAATGTTTAGTTTAAACAGTAGCTTGATTATGATAACCTTATGATCAATTTTATTGAAACGTTAACCTGTAGTTCAATGTTGTTAACAATCTCCTGAGGTTTTATCCGCCTACATTTCGTCATTGATTTCGCTACAAACCTCTGATGATGTCACGGCACCAATTGTGGTAAAACTCGTTCTTTAGATTCTCTTAGAATAGGTTACTCGAGATTCGAGGAAAATGCGAGCGTTACGTTATAATAAGAAATTATCACTCCTTTCTCTCTCAATTGTCTATTTTATGAGATACGAAGTATCTACAATTTATTTATCGTCTTTTTATTAACTCGACTTATCGTGTATCTGTCCGAATCCTTATAATATCACACAATTATGCTAATATATTATAGCTTTAAATTTTATCATTAATTAAATAACATATTATTAATTAATTATATAAATTAATATTGTGTTGTCTTGAAAGGTTGTGCCGATTTTGATAGAAGATTGAAATGCAACCCATTTCAGTTTTTTTGTTGTTATACATTTATAAAATAATAAATATAACTATATATATATATAAATAATTATAAAAATAATATAATAATATATAATAATAAATATAATAATAAAATAACTTTAAAATTTTGTGATTCCAGAACTTTTCAGGTTTTTTAGCAAAAGAACTTTAATGCCATCTATCAAAAATCGGCACGAACTTTCCAGACAACCCAATATATATATATATGAAAATTATTAATGATAAAATAGATATAATATAGTAATAATATAGTAATAATATAGTAATATTTTTTTTGTAATCATTACCATACTTTTTAATATAATATTCAATATATAATAATATTAATAATTATTTTTAATATAATTCGTAAACGTTACGATGATATTTTAATATCAATAATAAAATTAAATTAATGTTTATTATTTATAATATATTTTTTATTTAAAATTTTTTTATTTATTTTTATTTTTTATTTAATTTATCATCAAATATTTGAGATTACCCTACCCTCCATATTTGAGATGTATGTATGTGAATCAAATATACTCATTTAAAATTTTAATAATAAAATATATACGGGATATATATATAATAATTATAATAATTTACTATATTAATAATAAATAATATACTTTTATATATATATATATATATAAATAATTGTATATTTCACGCATTTTTACCGAATTTTGTTACAAATTACAGGAAGCTATCATTTGACCATGTGTGTTAAATTTAGTGTTAACTTTACGAAATAAAAAGTAGCTTTACGAAATAAAAAGTAGAATAAAAGGGCTTTTAGAAAACTCTCCGTCGATAAGGTAGATTTTACTAACCCTACCATGAATAAGATATATTTTTTTTAATGTAATTGATTTATTTAAAAAATATTAAATGCGTTTATATTTATTAATCTCGATTTTGAATCTGTCTTAATAAAAAAAAAAGAAAAAAGAAAACACAAAATAAATAAATAAAATAAAATCCTCTTTTCCTTTTCATGTATGTAGGGATAAATGATTTAGGGTGAGAGGTGCGAGGTGAACATACACCCAGTTTAATCCTACTAATAAGATTTATTTAAAACAGGTATTAGAAAAGGTACAATATTAGTTTCACAATCTTACGGTTACAACTTAGATGAGCGACTGAATTCTTACGACTGTTACAMCTGATACAACTGCGACTGTTACAACTGATATCTAACTAAGGCTACGACTGCTACCGTTCTACTTCTACGACTGAGTCTACATTACTTCTACGACTGGGACTGCTTTACTTCTACCCCCGAGACTCTGCTTTCTTATTCCTTTCCATGTCTTTTATATCAGAAATCATCTACACCCCTTTTTGAGAGGGAAGAAGCTTACAAATCT